TCATAGAGAAATGAAACAATCTTGATGAAAAATAGTGTCGCCTACATGCTGGCTCTCCTGGTGTAGGTTTGGTGGTATAAATCGCTGTCTGCTGGTGCCATCCTTAATGTTACCACAGGATGGCGTCATCATAAGAAATTTATAAAGATTAAACATGTGCTTTAACCCTTTGAACCCCCAAAACCCTTTTCAACCCTCAGGTTTTAGGGGGGAATGTTTTCTTTTTTAAAAAGATGCCAAAATTATACTATTTGACATGGTCAGAATCAGTTAAAACAAAACAATCGTCAGATTTTCAAATTTCCCACAGTCCGTGGCTGCAGGTGCGCCAAACTAAACGGGAAATATGGATATTTTATTAAACTCATTTTATTCTACTTAAAATTGCAAAAAAAAAAAAAAGCTAAAAAGATGATCACATTGATTTTTCTAAGGTTAATCATCTGCTATATCAATCTGAGCCCCAAAATTCACCGGCAAGTTTGAAAAGTTTTATTTTTCAAGTCACCAAATTCACAAAATTTATCATAGTGACGTATGGTTCTGTGGAAATCCTAATCCTAAAATTGGAATATTTTATTAAAATCTCTTCGTTTTACATGCCATTTGGCAAAAACAGCCATTTGCACGAGATCCTGTAACAAAAGCACAAAGAAATTGGTGCTTATCAAACTGAGAAGCCATGGGTGTCTCAGCTGTGACCAACAGTAACTTAACTTAAATTCTGAGGCTTTTCCAGTGAGCTGCAGTCTTATGGTTACACATAGCAGAGAGGACAAGAGACATTGAGAGGAAAACTGAAAATACATGATCACTAAAATCTACACAGCATAAAAGCAGTATAACTGTGGAACAAGTTCTCAGCAAGTTTTTGGAAGATACACTCAGCATGGTGAAATGTCTTCCTCCAGTGGATGTGCTGGATAATGTGAAAAATACTTGATTTGTTGAGGCTGTAAAAATGTTAAGTCCTCATCAAACAACTATCTACAGCAAGCCGAGCCCATTTTTTTTTACCAATGTTGGCGACGCTAGTAGATACTTGAAAAAATGTTGTATGAGTTGATTCTACTTCAGTTTAAGGAATTCTAATTTTGTTTTCTTCTTCTAACAGGCAAACATCATATATGCTTCAGGGTGCTCTCTGTCACTGTTTTGGGTTTGTCTGAATAAAGCCATGAGGAACATTAATGGTAAAGTGCCATCACTTTACCAAAATGAACTAAGCCAGCGATGGTAGGTATCCCACGTCTTAAAATGATTTAAGACTTCAGCAAGTACCTCCTCTCTTTTAAGACACATTTTTGCCTATAATTTCCCCTATTTCATTTTCATCACATTATCTGTGACTTTGGAGGTGTTGTCATGTGGATTTTGTTTCTCTCAGACAGATTCAGCTCTGCTGTTTCCCTCTTTCCAGTTTTTATATGCTAAGCTGACCACGTATATACTGGACTTATATGAGAAGTGGAAAAAAAAATGAATGAAAACAAGAGAATGCGTATTCTCCAAAACATGGAAAACAGTTTCAGAGTTTGCTTGAAACAAACTACCTCGAAGTGTCATCCAATCATTTCTAAAGTCAGATTCATAGCTGCTCTGATAGGCCAAACTGCAGAGTAGCGAGACGTGATAATTGTTGAAATGGGGATAACAGCACACGTTTTTTGGACACTTTCTCCTTGAAGTCATTCATGGTGTTGCACTGCATGAAATGTGACAAAAACAAGTATTAGTGTGAGGAAAAGAGGTAAAGAGAGAGAAAGTTTAAATCCTGCTCACTTTCTCACCTCCGTTCTGTGTGAAGCAAGGCCTGCGTGTCAGATTGTCAAGTTTGTAAAGCAACAAAAATTGTCAGACATGCAGCATCCGAGAGGTATTGGGAGAAGTGCTTCAATATACTCGCAGACAATCCAAAAAGCATTACTTTTGAAACATACTAATGCCTTTAATGCTCCATAGGAGGCCATCAAAATCATTCAAACAGACACATAATATCCATGAATGTCAGTCAAAAAACAGTTTCAAAGATCTATATGAAATCCCACATAGATAACTGTAAACATGTATTTAAGAAAAGTAAAAAAATAAATAAATAATGTGTAGATGCTCCTGCCCCTATACCTGTGTAAAAGCAAAGAGAACAATCCCTCTCTTTTATGACATGTAAAGATGTGAAATAAAAAAAGCACATTATACCGCGCTCGCCAACACACCTATCCGTCAATTCTCAGTCAGTCTGACGTTCAGCGTATTTTCCGCCTCAGTCAGTCATTCAGTCAGTCAGTCAGTCGGCTTCCCTCTGCTGTGTGACAGAAAGAAGAGATGTCAGCGAACAGGTTTTTCAGGGAGCTCAGGGCTGTCACGTCTGCCTTGGCGGTGACTGATGAGGTTGGGAAGAGTGACGGGCAGCTGCAGTCTTTTCTCAGCCCGTGGGCCTGCCTGGCATTAACATTATGTGCCATGTTCTCAGAGGGAACCCGTCACTCAGCCGTCACTCAAACCGACAGACAGATGGTGCACATAGACACCGAACATGAAAGAGACTGGCAAAGCAGCGACGAATCCCTAGGTGGTCCCTCCAAGTTGAAGGGTGTGGGTTTCTCATCACCGTTGCTTGGCAGCTCGACTTCAACCGCAAGGCCACACACGGACATCAAGGTAGCAACAGGGCCCGGGCGAAACATCAAAGTCCCGATCCATCAAACGTGTCACAGGCGATGAAAGGGAACAGCTTGCAGTGTGACTCGGGTCTGATCTGTTTTCACCTCATCTTCATGAATCATGACCACTTTCGCTTTCTTCTGCAGGTAATGGTGATTATGTGCGGAGCTCAATCAGAGCCAGCAGGCACTATTAGAGACACCAGACTCTACTCAAGGAGCAGGTTAGTACAGTAGTAGCTTTGTGAAGTATGTGCATGTGTGGGACAAGTTACAGGAAATTTGCCTTGAATAGACTGACGTTCAACTAGATGTTTTTTTTTTTAAGTGAAGTTTCACATTTGATCACATGTAAGGCCTGACATAGAAGGAGAAAATCTTCCCAGTATGACATGTGAGTAGAAATCCTGGACACTTCCTGGCATGTTAGTCACACCAATTATGTTGTCTGCAAATTTCAAGGTTAAAAAAAAAAAGCTATCCAGGAAAAGTTACATCAGAAATTCTTTGAGTGAAACCAAATGACAATCCTTATAACATGATGAATGAGGCGACTGTAAGATGTCCACTTTGTGCTGCAGTTTAACAGACAACTGTTGGCTTTTAGAGGAGGCGGATGGAAAGTAAAGAAAGACAGTCAAGTAAGTTACAACTCTGCTATGTACGAGGTGTGTTAGAAAAGTTCCAGGATTGGTGTCAAAAGATATATTTCAAATCCAAACTACAAACTACAAGTTTTCCCCTTCCAAGTAATCCCCCTGGAGTCTAACACACTTTCCCAGCCTTCTCTGCCTTCACGCCGCCATGAACTCCTGGAAGGATTCTTCCGGGATCCTCCACAGCTCCATCATCACAGCCATCTTGATGTCTTCAAAACAAGTCTCCTTGATGACCCCCTTGAGCTTGGGGAAGAGAAAAAAAATCACAGGAAGCCAGGTGGGGTGAGTAGGGAGGTTGCTCCAGCACAGCAATTTCCTTCTCAGCCAGGAACTGTCGGATGCTTAGGGCATTGTGAGCAGACGTGTTGTCATGGTGAAGCAGCCACAACTTGTCCTGCCACAACTCTCGCCTCTTCTCATGCACTTAACGAAGCAAACGCCACAGGATCTCTTTGTAGATGTGCTGGTTGATCGTCAGGCCAGAAGTCACAGTGGAGGATGCCCCTCACATTGAAGAGTGCGATCAGCAGGACTTTGACTTTGGACTTCGACTGTCTTGCTTTCTTCAGCCTTGGTGATGTCGGACTCTTCCACTAAAGGCTCTGTCGTTTGGTCTCCGGGTTGTACTCAAACATCCATGACTGATGACTCTCCCGAGCAAGTTTGGTTTCAAGACGTTCAAGGATGTTCTGACACACTTACATGCGTCGATCCTTCTTGTCATCGTTCAGCAGTTTCACCACCATCTTTGCACAGACTTTCCACATGCCCAAATCTTCAGTGATAATCTTCCAGACATTGTTTTGGTTCATGCCCATTTGCGATCAGTCAAGCAGTCAACTGACGATCGCCACACACATCTGCCTGACGCGTTCAATGTTAGCCTCAGTCCTGCTCGTTGAAGGCCTTCTGCTCCGGGGGTTATCTTTTGCATCCAAGCGTCCCTCTTTAAACCTCTTGCACCACTCAAAAACACAGGAGCGTGACATCGTCTCATCTCCGTACACTTGCTGCAGCAATCCCAATGCTTCTGTCGGAGTTTCCCCCAAACGGATCACAAACTTCAGGTTTGTTCATTGCTCCGTGCTCATTGCTTGATGACATGAAACAGAGGATATGCATATAAAAGCATGTGGAAATAAGTTCAATGGCTGCTGAGAGCTGAGATCACAGTTATATACTCCAGATCGATTACTCTGAAAGGGAAAACTCGTAGTTTGTAGTTTGGGTTTGAAATATATCTGTTGTGACATCAGTCCTGGAATTTTTCTGACACACCTCGTATGTTTATGTAACTGCAGGTCTTATAGGTTCAGCAGATCTTGGATGATGGTGGTTTGTGCTGCCTCCCTTTATCAACTGGTTGAACTTTTGTGAGGAGGTTTGAAGACCAGTTCATTCAGAGGTAGCAAGGCAAGCTCCTGAGTCATCGGCAGCAACACCCATTGTCTGAAAATCTAAATGAAAGACAGTCTGTCTATCTTTTAGTTAATCCTGTCAATAGAGACGGTGCATCGCTAGGTTAATTTCACACAAGCAGTGTGAACAAAAGAGAAAAAAATAAAGTCTAAAAACTGTGAAGCTTTTTCATCTCAAGTTGGACGTGTTCAGTCACAGCGGCTGCAGTAAATTTAAAACAAACAAACGAAACCAGATGAAAAAAAAAAGCGCCAACAGGTGCCATTTTGTGTGTCTTTATTGTGGACATGACATTACATCTTTTTGAAATGATGTACAAAAGTAACAGAACTGAGAATGGCTCAGACGAGGTAGAGCTTTCACATCGGCTTGCTGGCTTGAAAACTACACAGTATAAAAACAAAAACAACCCAGAAAAATCAAATTAAAACAAACACTCCTGTCTGCCTCGGTCCTCTTATCCTTTTTGAAGTGATAATAAATACAGATATCAACCAAATACATTTGGAATAATAATGTCTTCTAAGGTAAATTAATCATGAAGTTCATAACAAATAAAAAAAGCAATACGGACACAAATAATACAACTTAAGAGGCATGATAAAAACCCAACCAAAGAGAGAAGAACAACACCTGCCAGCCCCTCTGGGAGGGCAGCCATGACTAGCTACTGAACAAATCCTACAGTTTAGCAAAGAGAAAGACTAAAAACACACTCTTACATCTTTCTGAAAAAAATAAGCACTGCGCACCTAGCATTATCAAACTGTCCATGAGGAAACATAGCTAAAAAAGCTGTGCCACAGAACAAATAACCTGTCATTCGTATCTATGGAATCATTCTAACAAACAAACAAAAAAAGCCTCTAAACCAGAAATTACATTGAAGTGTGTTAGCCGGCACCAATAAAAAGACATTCTCAAAGAAACCTTAGCTAGAGATGGACAAAATGAGAATGGTTAAAGCACTAACCTAGTCTAAGTGCACTAGTAATGCCATTTGGTTTCTACTGCTGTATATAAAGGGTTTGGTAAGAGTGGATTACAGATATACACTTTATATTACATACACTCACTCCTGCTTCATAGTTTTTCTAAGTCACACTTCGGAGTACAAATTCATAACTGAGGAGTTAATCTTAAAGGGAATTCTGTACAACATTGGTATTAGTACTACACTACCTCAAAGGCTAGAGTATCCATTTCAAGTATTTTCACTACCCACACCTTCAATATACACGTCTGTGTATCGTTAGGCATATTCAAGCACACAACATTGTATGCATAACTAAACAACCAACTGGTAAAGCAACCATTTCATCGCTGTGTTTGTGTAAAAACTACTGAGGTTTTAAAATAGATGGGAAGTACAGTACTCTGTATGATCGGTTGTCGTTAACTGGTGCGAATTTTGAATCTAAGAAACTGACAGTTTCAGTCTTGCTCTAGAAGCTTTTGAGCTGCTTTGCATTGTTTCTTCTTTTCCCCGACATGTTGAAGCACGGTTCAGCTTTTTCTTGGGGACCATTTAGGGGTGAAAAAACAAATAGTCCTGCTTCATGTTTGAACTTTAACAGGCTTCCATTGCAAAGGAGGTAGGCTAAGCATCTAGACAGAGGCTGGAGTACGCAGATATTGGGTCAACTTCTTCCACAGTATACAGAGGTTTGAAGAGAATGCGCAAACACACATAAATGTACACTCGCACACACTTGTGTTAAGGCTGTGACAGCTCTACAATTCAATAGGCTTCAAAATGTCTCTACCTTGTGTATTTATCCCTGAACTCTCTGGAAGCCTGACCTCCTGACCTCTGGCTGCTCTCTCTCACCTCCTCGCTCTGTCCCCCCCCAGAATGTAAATCTTCACATCACCGTTCAAGGAATTAGACTGACAGCACGGGAGATTGGCTCATTAGACTGCTTAAATGTTCTGGCAACAAAATCAGCTCTGCGTCGCTGCTTATCGCGTCGCTTGTTGCATGTCCAATAAGCATGCTAATATACGGTGGATATGTTCACTCATGTGCCCATTTTATGTGCTAAACAAACCAGCCCGCGTTAAAGCAACAGTTTAACATTGTGGGAGAAAATGCACTCACACACTTTGTTGCCAAGAGTCAGATGAGAACATCACTGTGATGTCTGCCCATTAGGTTCATCCAGGTGGCTAAATTAGCGTAGCACAAAGAGAAACAGCAAATTGGCTCTGATTTTATTCCATTTGAATAAGTTTTAGAACCTTTCAACTATTTTACAAGAAGAAAAGGAATGTTTTTGAAATAAAAAAAAGTCGAGACAAAGTAAGTTTTTGAATCTCTCCCACCCCAGTAATGTGATTCCTTGATTAGGAAACACCACGTTACGGTATCATGTGCTGCTAGCAGGCTTTCTACCAAGACGGCTAATGCTGGGTTCAGACTAGACAATATCAGATGAAAAAATACCAAATGACAACAGTTCCGGTGCAGTATATGATAGTTGACCATTTTTGCATTAAGCATCTAGGACGCTTCATAATGTCCCAACAAATAATTTGACAGGAGTTGACCTCCTGTGCTGTTCTGGGACGACCTCCACAACATGTCCATCGTATTGAACAAAAAGAGCCCAATGAGATCTTCCACACACAACATGGAAAACAGACAAAAGGATAGACAACCTAAATTTTTCATCTGGTGTGATCTACAAATTGTTCTTTTCTTTCCTTTTTTAATTCTTCTTATGTGAACAAAGCAGCCAATATCATTCACACCACTGCTGACGTTCTTGTTTCCGATTGATGGCGTTCCTGATGATGTCATGTGTCACGGCAAAGTCATGGCAAGATGTCATGATTTTAAAGTCAACAAATCTGAGACATTATCAGAGAAAATATTGTGTAGTCTGAACCCGGCATTCGCTAATTGTCATCAAATTTATTCACATAGCTTTTAAGAAAGTCGACAGGCTAAACAGTTGATGGCAAATATCGAGATGCTTTTCTTTTTTTAACATGAGAAGTACCGTGTTCGTCTTAGCAAGCACACAAGCTGAAGCATAATCTGTGCAATCTAGAGTCAACATCTTCCTGCCACTCCCACTGTTGTGGAGTCTAATATTAAGTCAGAATTGTCGGAGTCGGAAACACTCTAATATGAACAAGTTATGAAGGAAAACTCCACTCAGTCCCTTCCTCTTAAATGGACAATAATTGAATGGCCATAAAAACGGGACGCTCATTTATATTGGCTATTAAAAACGCACGCTTTTTTTTAATGAGCACTAAAGCAGACACCCCCATTAGCGTTCTCTCTCTCTCTCCCTCTCTCCCTCCCTTCCTACTCCCACCTCTCTCCATCTTTCTCTCTCCTTCTAATCATCAGCTACACAGCCTCCGAGTGGTCACTGCACTCCCACCGTTACACTGTGGAGTGAAGGGAAGTGAGTTTAACTTGAGCACGCACACACACACGCGCGCGCACACACAGACGGACAGAAAGATGCAGGTTTTCATCTTCTGACTCAGAAACCCAGAGGAGACTAGCTTGCAATGTGCCAGTCGTCTGCTGATGAATTGCAGAGCATCTTCTCTTGCTGCGGGTTGATGATTGGTGTCCTGAGGAATGCACAAACTCTCACATACAATAAAGCTAAAAAGAAAAAGTGTTGAGGGGGCAACTACAGCAGCCATGCAATTCCACAGTCCTTGATTAAAATGCGAGCAGTTGCATTTCGAGTTCGGAAACTCTGCTTTTCCTGTAAATCTGCGCGAGGCAGCTTTACTTGTTGGTACCTCCAAAATGGCAGCAAGAGGTAACTCTTTGAATTTTGTAGGGCTTCTATATTCAGAAATCCTTTCAGGTGATGCAAACCTTCATCTCAGTGGAAAGAAGCCAAAGATTGAACGTTGGTGAGTCCAGCTTTCCTGCTAGGGAGACATTATATTTCATTTCTTCAGTGGTGAGAGTGTTCCCCACCTGTGTGCACACCTGGCACACGCCGTTTCTAAAAGCAGACTTTCTCCAGAAATTCTTTCAATTATGCGAAAAGACACTCTTTCCCGCTGCAGCCCCTCTTTGTGATTTTAAAATTTCCTAGCACAGCTGTAATAAGCCTCTTTAAGATTTAAAAAAAAAAAAAAGTTTCAAAAACTACAAGAACCTTCATTGTAGAAAATTCTTTAAAGATCATTAAAGGATGTTGGGTGGAGAGGAGAAGCTCCAAAGGTCAATCAAGAGTCTCGGGTCCTACTTCCAGATTTTCATGAATTGTGAGGAGGGGGGGTTGTTGTTGTGTGATTCCCTGACTAGGCTGGTCCTTGGGTCCAGGTCGTGGTCGATCAGTCAGAAGGTCTACTGTTGTGAGTTTGGTGGGTGTTTGGCAGCCAGAGCTCCTCGCTCCTCCTGGCTCAGTAACGAGCTCCTCGTGTCTGGGTACTGGCTGTTGTCAAAAGGCATATGGTGGACGCTCTGGACGTGCGTCTTTAGGTTCCCTTTCTGAGAGGCTCGGTATGGGCAGAGCTGGCAGCAGAATGGCCTCTCCCCTGAGGAACACACACATAAAGTTGAAAGGTCAGGTAGAGGCCCCGAGGCGAGGTCTTACACAGGATGTTGAATGGACAAGCGATTTTGAATAAACGAGGGATTTAACAGGGCACATTGATGTAAACCACAGATGAGACTTGCTGCAGTGGAAATGGTGCAAAAAAAAAAAAAAGGAGGAAGAAACAAGCAAACACAGACATAAACCAAGACACACGATGGCTAGAAGTCGGAAAACATTATGCAGGTCAAATGAAGCATTCACATTTAATTTTCTACACCTAATTTCATGCAAAAAAAAAAAAAAAGTTCTCTATCCTGACCCAGATGGAATAACTCTTCCTCCCTCTTTCCTGCCATCTGGAGAAGAGCGCCACACATCCCCTGTCTGTAAAGTCCTACTTTTTGTCTCCATGTATTTGTCTCAATCACCTGGGTTACCCTATGGCCCCTCCACAAACACACTCAAATGCACACCCTACACTCTCTTTTAATTAGACTGACCTACAATGGCACAGACACCTTTGGAAAAAAATAAAATAATAATAAAAAATAAGCAACACACACCTGAACAAAACAAATGAGAGTGCCATTTAATTGCACCTAATTATCATTTTGATAAATGGAAGAATATCAAAGTAGGAAAACAAATGACTCCCCGTGCCCCTCCCCGCACCCTTCTCCCAGAAGAAGAAACAGGGAAATATAGCTGTTATCATACATCATCAACAGAGAGAAAAGAAATAGAGAGGGGGTGGGTGGGAAAGAAAGAGAGATAAAAACAACAACAAAAAAAAAGGTATAATTAATCACAAAAAAAAATCATCAAAAAAAAAAAAAGAAAAGAAAAAAATGCTGGAAAGATGGCAAGGGTGAGACGTGAGAGGAAAGCGAGAACCTCCACGACATCGTCCTGCGAGGAAGCATCGCTGACGGGACCGGTGCACTACATTATACTAAAGGTTATCGTCACCGTAAAGCAGCGTCAACACTACATCTAATTGGACCCCTCTGCCGCGCCTGCTCCCATCATTCATAGCGTGCGGTAAATCTGAGTCCATGTGGGTATGTGTGTGACGTGTGTGATTAATTAAGATGGAGGCACAGCGTGTGGAACCCGGCTCTCTCCGAATGTCAAAGCGGAGCAGATTTAGTTCTCGGTTCCCTCCGCTCTCAATCCTTGTCTTGGTGACTGACTCTAAAAACTCTAAAAACACGTTCAAGGAACTAAGTGCGATGTTACTGCGATTTGTTAAGTTTGTTCCTGAGTCCTGTTTTCATGTAGTTCTCATCGCTCTTTGTTACTGAGTGTGTTTACATGCGCTGCAATACTCTCAAAACTCAAAAAGCTAAATATATCCCTGCTATATCACTGAAAATTGACATTTTTGATAATCAACATGTTGTCACTCCAACATTGCTTGCTGTTGGTTGTTGCTGCTTCTTGCCATGTTGATTATCGTCATTCTGTTTTGACCGGTAACAAATTCCTGGACTCCTCCATGCACCTGCACACCTAGAAACGTCTCTTTGCTCTTGCGCACATGCAAAAAGCAGATTAGAAATCTCTTTACACCTATACTTGGCACAAAAAAATGTGGTGTTTCCTATAAGAAATCTTGGGAAAATGAGGTTTCTCTAATCTCCAGGTAAGGTAACAGGGAGAAATCCAACTGTTACCTGGTTATTTTAGTGGATGTCAATGCATCCATGAAGAAAAAAATGGCACTTATTATCTGATCATTCTTTTTCTAGACTGTAGTGTGGTTTTATGAGAATGAAAAGCTGTATATTGTAGTTAAGCTGTGCATGTAAAAGTTAATCTAGGAACAAGCATCAGCTACAACCTCTGCGACAGTTACATGCTCTGTTGGAACTATGTCAAACTGCATCGTCTCAGTAACAACAACAACAAAAAACTTAAACTAAAAAAAAAAATCAATTTCAAAATGTCATAAAATAGAAAAATGGCCACCGAAATGTCTAAAAAGAAAATCAAATGTCTTATTTAGTCTGACCAACAACAGTTTGGAAACCTGCTATCTCTAGTCTCCTGATATGAGTTGATGAAATCTAAAATTTATACTGATGTAGTTTGGCTTGTGCTAAATGGAGGTCCTGTATGTGTTAGGCCTTGCATGCAGACATCTCAAGTTGAAACAGATTGAAGACCACATATCAAATGCAAACACATCCAAACTGAAAAACAGAAAACTTGGGTTACAGTGCAGCAAAGCAGCAAGACAGTGTTATTGTTATTAACTGAATATTAAACGTTTTTGTGGCAGCTTGCAAATGTCTGCATGTAGGATCATTACTAATGAATTAACTATGTTGAGCTTTAATGGAAATTTCAAATAAGCTGGAAACAGGAAACATATCAGTTTGAGTCAAGGAACTGGAGTATTTTTACCACTTAAATCTGTACTCTTTCTAACAGCCAGCAGGGGGCGACTACTTTAGTTGCTAAAAGAAGCCAGATTGTAAAGAAGTCTATGCGAAAATGAAGCTACTTCTTCCATGATTTATTACTGCAGCAAACATTTCCCTAATGAATTTATGGTTTCAATTGTTAGTTTCAGGACTTTTTAAATACAGCATGATGTTCATTTTGTAAATTATGGACCCATTTAGAGGAAAACAGCTGAGCATAATGTCCTTGAGTTCAACGGTCAGCTCAACTCTTAGCAGGCAAAAACCAAACTATATGCTTTCAAACTTTCTCTGCTCTTTTATATACAGTTTTATATTTCTTTAAAAAAGTAAATCTTGACAAACTCCAACTAGTGTATATGTATGTAACTGACATGCTGTGTGTCTTTGGGATTTTTGTGTTGTATATCTGACGGGCTTTTGTCATTCTTGCATGTGCAACGTGTTGATGGAACTGTGCTGCTACACAGTAAACCAGAATTAAATTCCATCTGTTTAGCTGTCAGTAAACTGGTTGATTAACTGATATTTTAAACATCTTTAATAAGTTGGCTTTATAAAGTTTAATGAATGGGCTATGGGTTGAATTTCTGTTACATCAATTTGTAACAGAAAGGAACCATTAACACAAAAACCACTCAGTATTTGGACACAGATACAGATTCAATTATATCCATCTAAAACTGTAAATTACACAAAAACTGGAATCAATTTGGCAAGACTACGAAAATCTGATTTTCCTAAAGTCAGTGTTAGAGCCAAAGAGTAACAACCAAGGAAGGACAAAAAGCAATGTGCAACTTTAACCAATGTTAGTTTTTCTCAGACGAGAAAATAAACTTTCCATGCTTTTAAGGTTTTCAATGAGACCAATGTGAAATGTATGCTGGATACACACGCCAATGTCAGGTGTGATCCAGCAGCATGTGAGAATGCCAGGTGTTAATGCCAGGTGCAGAGGGTGCCACATGTGACTGTAACACATGAACAAAGAAAAAAAAAAGAAAAAAAAAAGAAAAAAAACAACTCATACAGAATGGAAGGCTGCAGGATTGACACAGACACACACACACATGCGGAGGTGAGACAATAATAATAAGGGAACATGCAGAAGCGATGAGGGAGCCCAGTGATTAGCCATTGTGCCACATACTTGTTTGGGAGCTTCAGAAGCGGTGGTGTGAGCGTCAGTACCTCTGTGGAGTCCGTTAAAATCAAACCCAACTGTGGGGGGAGAAGGAGGATTGGATGGGGGGGAGGAAAGGGAGGAGGAGGAAGGGGAGGAAGGGGAGGAGGGCATTTGGTTAAACGCTCTACCAGATCCACACAAGCATTTTACTTCTTTTTTTTTTTAATTCCTTCCACCACCACCCGCACACAATAGCATTTGCCACCAGCACCCTTGTTAATTGAGGGAAGCTGGCAGTGATGATGATGCTGATGATGGTGGTGATGATGGTGATGGAACCTGGTGGAGGCGAGTCAGTGATTTAATATGACGCATGTTAATAGAGGCCTCGGGGTGGCTGGCCTTTTCTGCATGTGCACGTCCGCGCTGAAGACAACTGTCGGTGACAACATTATTTACAGCCTCTGTGAGTGTTTACAGAGCCTATGCACGAGCATGTGTGTGTTTGTGTGTTAATGCAGTGTGTGTGTGTTTACAATAGGGTTTAGAGAGGAGGGGGGGAGGGAGGGGAAGCTGAGGACTGCATCACTTACCATTTGGCCTCTGTCACTTAGAATCACTGGCTGTGCCACATATCATTCACACTCTCTATAAAGAAGCTACTTATCCCACTGTCTACTGTGATCACCGCCGGCCCGGCTGATGGACATGACAGGACAGGAGAGGAAAGGAGACGAGGAGGAGGAGGAGGAGGAGGAGGAGGAGGGAGAAAAGCAGGCAGCTAAAGAGAGGAGAGAAGAGGAAAGGAAAAAGAACAAAGGGAGAATGGAAGGAATCAGAAAAGGAGGAGAGAAGGTGAAGATGAGAGGAAAATGAAGAGGAGGAGGAAAAATAGATTGAAAAGGAAACAAAAGAAGAATGGAGGAGGTTGGACACCAGACAGAAAAGAGGAAGAGGACAAAAAAAACTAGTGGGAGTAAAAGAAAGGAAAGTAGGAGAGGGGAAGACAAAGAGTAGAGGAAAAGAAGAAGTGAAGGAGAAAGGAAACATGGAGGAAGCAAGGAAAAGAAAGAGGGAGAGGTGAGAAGAAATGAAGACAAAGAAGGATTGGAGATTGTGAGATGAGAAAAAAGACCGCAGGAAAGGAATGAGAGGAAACGGGTAAGGAAAGGAGACAGAGAAAATGAAAAGTAGAGATAAAATGAGAAAGTGGAGGAAAAGCCAGGATGTCTAAATCAAGCTGTTTAGTGAATGGCACCGGGATGCATGCAAATGGATTCGTAAGGTTGGCGTGGACAAATGCTGTTCTGCTTCATTAGAATGCACAATTCCATCTCTCTAATTGACATGTGATTAATAATGTATACAATTTGTCACAGGTCAGTATCCGGAGCAAATCATGTTTCAGTTTAAAAAATAGAGACAGCTGCCCAGCCCAGGGCGGGGAAGGACTCACAGACCGGCTGTCACACTCAACTGAACAAAAAAGATCTGTTTTGATTTATTTTGTAGGAGGCAGAGATGTAGCGGACGTACGGAGAGTCAGACGATGAAATATTGTTGAGAATGTGAATCCCCATGCATATATTCTCTATATCTCATGCCAGTGTTTCGGGGTGGATGGAGCTGTGAGGGTGGTGATGTGTGTGTGCACAGGTGGTACGGGAATGAGTGACTGGTGAAGAAGTGGACAAAAAAAACAAAAACAAATTGGGAACATATAAGAATACATGAATAACATGTAGCTAATGAGGTTTTACAGGTTAAAGCAGGACTTAGCTGGACTTCTCGAGCTTACTGCTGTTCCTCTTTACTCAGGCTGTTTGCCATATCTTTTCCTTTTTGACAATTTAATCGTTTCTGTGACTCATAACAAATACTTTATCCCGTAAAAAAAAATCTTTTACTTGCTGTGTTTAACTTTGGAAAGTCAGACGGCAGAACTTTCTCCCTGAACTTTGTACCCTGATGCCTATTTTAAAGTCTTGGAGAGCAACGATTCGCTTAAATATCTCAAAAGTATGTGTGGTTTAATGTGTGTTCAATATATTTTATTAGCTTGACACCTCATAAATTTTCCTAATTTGATAGAAAATTGATCATAGGATGGCACCGGCATGCATGCAAATACATACTATTAAACATATATTTAATACATTTCCTGTAAGGAACATGACACATTGCTTAAGCTGTAATGATATTCTATATACTTAACTCTACATGAGATTTAATCATACAAAGCCCATGTGACATAAAATGTGACATGACTCCTTAGTTTGGTGTAATAGTAATGCGGTATAGTCATTTTATTTTTTCACATTAATCAAATGCACAACGGTTTTCTAAATGTTGTGTTTGATAATACCAGAAGAAAAGAAATGATGGCTATTTAAAGGGTACACATGCTTAACTGTTAAATTATTTTTATTGTTTTACACTAAGAGCAGCGGGGGCTGTGAGATGCCATAAAGAAACGAGGAGGTAAAGCCAGTTTTGGGGGTTAACATCTCACTTCTTCGTGAGGCTTTTAAATTGTTTTGGTTGAGCCAGCGGAAATATGTGTAAATGTGCATTTTGTATTCCTTCTAGTGTGCTTGTGTGTCAAAGTATAATGGCTGCGTTTTACCTGTGTGGGACCTCATATGAGTGCGCAGGTGGCTGGGCTGACTGAAACTCTTCCCACACTCATGACAGAAATACTGTCCCTGCCGCATGAGAGACCTCAGCATCCCTGATCGGCACAAACACACAAAACAGAAACACACGGTTAAACAAAGTACAATATCTACAGAACAATACAGGTTCAGCCGAGGGGTAAGATGTAAATTAAACATATGCAATGAACTCTTATTTTGTTTAAATCAACAGGTCTGTATTTAAACGATATACATTTTAACCCTTCTAGATTTAAACATGCATTTTACATCAATTTATCTATAAAGAAATAATAGTATGCCCTTATGAATCTACATATTTTTAACTCAGGAGATAATGCTAAATGCTTCATCAGATGGTTTGTGCTCCTCACAGCTATATGAACAGGTTTGAAAACAACACATGTTCACACACAAGGCCAGAGTATCTGAAAATGACACGCGCTTTGAAGAGATGTCACACTTTTTCTGCAAAGAGTAATCAAAAAGGTGAAGCTCAGTATCATATTATTCCAAGTAAGAAGACATTTTCAGTGTTTGCAGGGATTGAGCGAAGGTGTAAAGGTCAGTAATGGGCAGAGAATGAGTGGGTGTACGTAAGCGCAGAGCCTGGCTGGAGTGGTGGAGGTAGGTAGCATCAGTAGTGGACTCGCGCAGGCATCATTAGTATGTCTAATGTGTCATTATGAGCGGCTAGCTCCAGGGGCTGGACTGCAGCTGTCACACAGCATCATCTCAGAGGCTGACAGCCAGACACACACAGCACACACACACCGCATAAATTACAGGCAATTAAAACGCCCCGGCTGTGATGTGCCCGCTCCGCTGCCCGTGTGTCACATGTCAGGTGTGTGTGTCGGCATGCGTTTCAGGAGTTGTGTATGTGTGTGTTCGGTCCAAGGGAGGAAAGTGAGGCGCACACTGGCTACTTCTACACACACATACACACAATAATGCAACAACACTGACATTACATGCGCCGATCACCTTTACATGTTAATGGCCCCAAACAGCAAAAAGAAGTAACTTGTTGAATTCTGATGCGCTTGAAGCTCATAAGTCCTGACGTAACCTGTGACATGACGTGGCTACATGCTAAATCAAGACTGTTTTATTAAGAGAGGTGATGAAGGGGATAGGCCCAAATTTCTTGCAGGAAAGCATGTAATTATTTCTCATGACAACTGAATTTGGGCCAACATGATGAAGGTAAAGTACCTTGAATTTTGAGATATCTAACTAAAGTGACTCCGCCTCAGAAAAACTGATTTTACATAAAAGTCTGATTTACATGTATTGTCCCAAAGCTATTATGTCCATGTTGTTAGGCTGCAAAACTTGCAGGTGAACAAAATTAAGCAGACAACCTTAAGGAATGCTTTGAAAGCATATGGATTTTTACTTTCGGATCGATCTTAAAAACCAAAAAGAAACGCTGGCACCGTCAAGCACACCTAGTGAAAGCTCTGAAACTATAATGAGGCGGTATAAGAAAAATGCCACCAGGAAATTAATTGTTAAGGGACAAGAAGCCCAATTGTGTTTGGTAAAGCAGATGGAATGCATACTGATTGGTTTAAAAGAGCAGGTATTTAGCATAAAGAAACCTGTTGTTGCATGATGAAGGAAACTGGTATGCTCTATGTAATTTAGATAACTATGCAATAAAGACATGTCACTCATGCTAGATTGCAATCTTTTTCCAGATTGCATGTGAATGCTGCTGACATGAACGGCATGAGGACGAGGCGTTTAAAGATGGTCGGATCTATTTAATGACATTCTGACCATTATAGGCGCACTCGCTCATGCACACAGACACATGCGCTACTCTGACCTCTCTTTCTGACAGATAACAGGCCTGGGGGTTTTCGGGGAGAGGAGGGGGTTGCTTACTGCATAAACCCCCAGCAGACACATGAACACCCTAAGCGTAAGGGATGGCATATACCTGGGAAGTGCCCACTAGTTGTATGTGTATGTTTGTGTATGCATGAGGGATGGGGATAGAGGAGGAGGAGGAGG